GTGTCACTGAGTATCCCCAAATTGACCTTTTTTCGAAGATACAATTACTACTGAAAACCAACTAAAATCAGGCCAGGGAAATAATTTCAGTGACAAAATAAGAATCATAAAGTACAAAATTAGACATATCTTTGTACCTTTGTATTAAAATAATCAAGTAAAAACTGGATATTTTAATGAACAAGTAGAAGTCACTGTATGGTTGACTGAAGAACCAATCATACAGGTCTCAATTTAAAAGATGCCATACTCAAAATTTAAATGAAACCTAAATGATTGTTATTATACATAAGGACAAACAAAGTAAGGTAAATTTAAACTGTTACAGATATTTAATTTAATATTATTATTGCAAATACAATAGGATTTTCCCTATAGATCAAGTACAGAATAGGTTATTAAAATTAATATAATAAAGTTATTATTCTAAATGTTAAATATGATCTCCTACCAAAGTGATCTGTGCATTTGTTAGAATAGAATAAGTTTAATAAACAAGTGTAAATGTTTAATACACAAGAACTAAAATTGCAATGCTAAACTATTAAACTTCCTATCCACTAATTGATTCTACATTATAAAAAAATCACAGCTATGGGTCGATGGGAACATGGAAAGGTAACACTTGTCTGATATAGGCAGCCTTCAAAAAGCAAATTAAGCAACTATTTTTATTAGGAATGCTACACAGAGAAATGGCTGGGTTGCCAGTTAATAGATCACTTACCTTGAAATTATATTCCCATTTACCTGCTTTCTGATAAGGTAAATAAAAGAGGTAATAAGTAAAGTCTACATATTAGCTTCTATGATTTCAGTAAATATCAGTCCAACATATTTTACCTACTGAAAAAAATTTCTTGCGTGTGACTCTGAAACATTTCATACAGATGGATATTGAATTCATAACAATATTTTCTTGGTCAACTTGTTCAGTCACATGAAAAACAAGACTTATTTTTAGCATCATATTTTGCTCCTGTTTTTATTTTGTGGCATAGTGTTTGTTGAGCATAAGGGTTCGGTTCTAAAATTAGATTGTTACACTGTATGTGGCAGCCTGGATGTTCAAAAGGAATTGTGATTATGTGTACTTATTGAAGAAAATGTAAATTTCAAGTGCATTGGAACACAACTACAATGCTCAAATACAATATAAGAAAACCTGGATAAAATAGAATGGATAAATGACAGACATATTATAAAAATAATTTTTAAATGTATCAGTGAGATGAAATGTAGGTTTTGTCTGTTTGTTTTCCTTTCTGTCTTAACACTGAGTCAATGGGCTTTCATAGCACCAATGTGTTCAAGCGATTTTTTCAAGAGATTCTAGATCAGATGAGGATTTTGTAGATTTGTAAAATGTTCAGTTGTCTCCAAATCAAACACATTTGGCCAGGATAGTTGTTACTGAATAAAATTCATGGTTCTGTTATTTAAGGTATATTTCATTAAGAAAGTAGGACACTGTATTTTAAATTAAAGTTGATCAAAGATATGAATTTTTTATCATGTGCTTTATTTCATTCAAGTAAAAGTAGAAGCAATTAGATATTAATTGCATTATGTGTGTGGATAGCTAAAGTCTGTAAGCAATCAGAACCTACTGACAAAGTAGTTTTATGACTGTCTATTTACCTTAATGGACAATACTTATTGCAGAACATTTTTTCAATAATTAGGGAGAAATTCTATGTGAATAAAATTTGGTATTGCAAATAATTGATAGTATTTAATTTTTTTTCCATTTATAATACTGTTCACTTAACTTATCAGATTATCATCACTGAAAGCATCTAATTGTTTCTAGTTTTTTAATGACCTCCAGAGGAATGTAATATATAGTGGAAATATTGCTCGATTCAGTGCCGGAAACCTCGAGTCTACAAACCCAGAGAAAGCATTTTAAATACTTTAAGCTTACATTCACTAATGTGAAGAATACAAGTAAGATATCTTATAGGACTATAGTTAGAAATGCAGGAGAAAACAGATGAAATTATAGACAGTGAACTCTATCCCCTGCCCCCACTCACCTAAGAAGTAAACAAACCAAAGCAGCTAATAGACTTCATCTTTTGAGGCTTTATGACACTTTCGTTTTTCTCTGGATATTCCCACAACTCTGTTCTTATGTATGACTCGCTTTTCCAAGATTGAAAGGTCTCCAGGAGATAATAATGTGATGGAATATTTCAGCTGTTCACACTGTGAGATTCACAATTGTACTGATAACTAGCTTTCTTTGAGTACTTTATTAGGACCTAAATCCTGCCTGGGCTGCTGGCGGTGTGATCTTTGTGCTTTAGAGTACTCCTGACAGAGGCTCAAAGGAGAGATCTGGAAGGTAAGTTTCAGCTCTGTAATTCTGTGAACTCCACCAAGTTTTATTGTGCTTTGAAGCTGCACCACCTCAGAAGTTTCTCAAAGAAGAATGATTTTGCCTTTGATAGCAATAGATAAAGAATGAATTAAAGAAGTAGCAAGCAGCATTTGTCTACTTTTCACTAGTTGGAATATGATAACTTAGAGCTACTTGGCAGTTACTCTTCCTTCCCCGTCTGTCTCAGCGCCTCTCACCCCTCTGCCCCCGTTCCCTCCCCATCTCTCCTGGAAGCCTTGTCATTTCCAAAGGGTAGATATTCCCTTTCTTAACTTTGCAATACTTTTTAGCAGTGTATAAAGAGACAAAGGAAGATAAGTACATGTTTGGCCACTGTCAAGACCTGTCCTTGTCAAACTTTAATGTTTATGTGGATGCCTTGTGATGTTGTTGAAGTACAGACCCTGATTTAGTGTCCTAACCTCTAACGAGTTTCCAGGTGATGTTACTAATCTTAGACTCACACATTAGGTAGCAAAGATTGGACTATTCTGTAGACTAAAATGACCATAACTAAAATTTAAAAGAAGTAATCATAAAAAGTTAAATATTATATTTCAATTTTACTTAAAAAGTCATTTTCTTTTTTCTGACTTATTCACAAATAATGTCTTTTATTTCAAAGCTGAATTTTCCAGCTTTCCTACAATTGTGCTATTCGCTTGTGACTTCTTTATATTGAGATTCATACATTTATAAATTTGGCAAAAAATTTACATTATGATTTAAAAATGTAAATGTAGACAAGTTGAATATCACAATTTAATTTTGAAAACCTAAACATGTATGACAGCAAATGTAATTATTAAGATGACTGGAAAGTTTATTTTAAAACTAAATATTTGTCAATATTTATAACATAGGATAAGCTTTATTTGTACATGTAGAAACAAAATTTGCATGAGATAAAATATTACAATAATCTAAAAACACTGCAATAGATAACTCTTATTCATCCAAATAGTAAATTTACAAAAACCATTTCTTTATCTTAGGTGAGGCTGCCCTTTTTTTTTTCAACTTTCTTTCAAAATCCTTTAGTATTCAATGGGTTTTCATTGAATTCCTACTGGCTGATAGAAATATAAATAAAAATATATGCCTAATTGCCAACAATAGTTATTTCAGAAATGAAGAAATTTGAGTCTTGACTATAACAGCCTTTATTCACTCAAAAATTATAGACAAGTTTAAAGATTCAGTGTGGTATTCTGAAATTCAGCAATGCTCCATCTTACAAAAAAATATGTACACTCTTTCCCATTTTCTTAAAAATATATGCCAGATTTCTTTATTTTAGCACATGCCCAATAAGGTGCTGGGAGCCTGTGTATTATTAGAGGAAATGTCTTCTGCAGTCTTAATATAAAGGGTGGAGATGATACTAGTTGAAGAGAAAAATAATGGTGGTCAGATAAAGAAGGTGAATAAGGTATCGGGAGGGCAAAAGACTCTGAATAGAACACACTGGTTCAACATAGGAAGGATTCATGGTGTCTGCCTTATACCCCAGAAGAAGATGTTGTATCCAGAGGGTTTGGTGATAGTATATACATTTTAGAGCCAAATTTTAACCCTATGTAACTGGTTTCAATCCATATAAGAATTCAGTAAGTTTTCCTGATATTCCACTTAAGAAATTACAACAACATGCCCATTAAAATAACATTCAGAAAGTTTTTGAAAGAGAGATCTTGTTAAAATATCAATAATACCAACAACTCTGCAAATTGGTTTTTAAAATGTTATTTCTGCAGAGTATTTGAAGCTTTCCTAGAATATTGCATTTGTGAAATTCATTTACCTCTATTGTATTATTCACCATGTAAGAATGAGGTGTACTTTTTACCTTAAATAAGTCACCAACCATCTAATAATGTGGGAAATGTAACACAGACAGCAAATTCATTTTGTTAAGCAAAGACAAGGGACAGAAATGGGGCTGTTTCAAGGCAGCGTCCTTATGCAGAGGAAAATATTTCTTTTTTATTAGCTCCATCTGATGGTAGATCTGGTTTTTACACACTACCTGGTTATAAATTCCCAACAGTAATGTTATTGTTTTTTCTCCCGCTCTTCTCTCAGAAAGATGTGCTGTATTGAGAAGATGCTGCTTAGCTGATTATGTACCCAATGCGTTTATTGAATTTTGCAAAGCATTTACTGTTATAAAGAATGTTCAAGCTAAGCTGGTCAACTTTTTTTTTCGTTGCATTAAGGTGAGAAGCATAAATATCACAGATCAAAACAGTGTAAAATTTAAAATATGAAAATATTGTTGATATTGTCCTGTATGTACATCTGCAAACATACCTCTCAGATAGGCATGGCCTACACTTTACCTAATTTATATTCAGTATGTACATATGATAACAAGTGTTAAGCACATAAAAATGACTTTATGTTTCTCCTTCATATTTTATACTTACGGACTAGTTTGGTAAAAACCTATTTATTGATACACCATCTTAATATTATTTGATATGAGCATGCATATTTGTAAGGGCAGTTCTCCCCATGCAGAAAAGAATCATTTAGGGTATCAGTGTATTTGAAATGCATATTAACTAAGTTGAAACATTCAAAAATAAGTAAATCAAGGAAAATACTATACCTCGGCATCATATTCCCATAACTGATTTCCTCTCATATGGTGGCATTTTAACATGATTACAGGTCCATTGAGTCTTGAAACATCCAAGCACAAGTCATCAGTTCGGATTTCTTTGTCAGCAGTGTAAGAAAACACCTGAAAATATAAAATTTAACTAGTAAAATATTATCTTCTTAAAAAAAAAAAACTCACACTATAGCAGATTTGTCTGTGGAAGCTTTCGGATCAGATAAATTTTTCAAATGATCTCTGCTGTGTAATCTTGAGAAAACTAGTTTCTCTCTCTGGGCCCTTTTCTTCAACTGCAAAATAGGGACAGTGTCATCTATTTTATAATGTTTTTGTGAAGCTTCAATTTAACAAACTAAATTATAAAATGCCTATTATTTTCAGGCACCATATTTCCTGCACTATACTTTTTTGATCAAGCTCACAACAGGTTCAATAAAATAAAATTTGTAAATTGCATGCAGCTCAATAATGGGCAATCCTTGTTTCTGTGATCATATGCCCAACTCCTCACTCTAGAGACAATGATGTTTTTCATAAAGAAGTTTAAATCTTTCTCTCTATAACTTAGTAGAGCACGTACATTTGATTAAATGTTGTCAGTGGGTCTTTGAAGGTGGTAGTATCTTCTCTAGAGAGCTCATTAAAGGCAGGCTCTATTCTTATCTTTCTCATGTAGTTTTGGCTGGGCTTGGCTACAGTTCTCAAAATATCCAATAAACATCAAGGTAGATTGTAGACTCACTATCGGCTAATTCAACTAATATTATATAACCTCTATTGCTTTTTCCTGGTGTGAATGATGTATTTATAATCTTAATTATTTAAAGTTTTATGAGTTATTAAGTACATAATTATAAAAGTTGTTTTCCTACATTAGCTCTGATAACATGGTTCAGTATTCTGTGGGTATCTATTTTTTTCCTTGCAGTCTCAAGAGGGAGTATAATGAGGAAGGTGGTCTCAGGGTCTTTTTGTTTGCCAAAGCAGTCTGATAAAATTGGAGAAAGTCAGTTCTACAAGTCACTTATAAACTCTAGAGCCCCAGTCTTTAAGATGAACAAGTTAGTTTCGAAAGGATTGCTATTATAGTATTGCTACTCAGGGTTTCTCTGAAAATTACAAGAAGTTGGAAAAAGAACATGTAAAGTCAGTGATGGGCCCAGGAAACCTCTTAGGTCAACACCTTAAAAGGAAATTCTTCACAAAGGTTATGCATTCTACTCAGCAATATAAAACCTTGAAAGTATGCGAAGTCCCTTTCCTTGAACTATATAAAATATAATCTTTATGGTATAAAATTCTGGAAAAAATGCCCTATCTTTAATATTTTTTAATGTTCTTACTTTTAATGGGAAATAGGAGTACCAAAATAATAGAAGAAATACACATCGAAAATAAGTATTTGTACAAACATGGTTAGTATTTTTTTGTTCCTTACTCAAGGATATGTTTATTAAATTTTAGAGAGAGAGGAGGAGAGAGAGAAACATTGATGTGAGAGAGAAACATTAATCCATTGACTCCGATAGGCACCCACACTGAGGATGGAACCTGAAAGCTATGTGCCCTGACTGGGACTCAAATCGTCAACCTTTTGGTGTATTGGGCGATGCTCCAACCAAATGAGCCACCTGGCTAGGGCTGGTTAGTATTTTCTAAAAATAAAATTACATTAGTTCCCCTTATCCATGGTTTTGCTTTCTGTGATTTCAGTCACTGGTGATCAACTGCCATCAGAAAGTACCTAACGGAGAATTCCAGAAATAAGCAATTCATAAGTTTTAAATTCTGTGCATTTTTAGTAGCATGATGAAATCTTATGCTGACTGCTCCCCTGGCCAGGGATGGGAATGATCCCCTTGTCCAGCTATCCACACCGCATATGCTCCCAGCTCCTTAGTCACTTAGCAGCACTCTCAGTTATCATACCCATGTCACTGTATCACATTGTTTGTGTTCAAATAACCCTTATTTTATGATTAGAATTGTTCTATTTTATTATTAGTTATTGCTGTTAATCTCTTACTGTGCCTAGTTTATAAATTAAACTTTGTCATATGCATGTATGAATAGGAAAAACAGTATAAATAGGTTTCCATACTATACATGGTTTCAGGCATCCAATGGCACCCATGGGTAAGAGGGGAATACTGGGCAAATATATTTCATCAAGCAACTGAATCAGGTAGGAAACCTTAATCTGAGGGAAGAACATTTCTAGAGAAATTTCTTTTGCCTATGATAGTGTTATTTCAATGTAAAAAATTGATCTTCACACTGAAATTACTTCTTATCAGTTGCATAGAGATGTCCAATGTAAATGGAAACATCAAAGCATCCACAGTTGCCAATAATTTTGTATGATGAGTATAGTCATGGTCTGAGTAATAAGTCTCCTCAGTTTCTTATGACAGTTTGGAAATTTCATCTGTTGAAAGTTCTAGAGAGTGATCTGCCACATTTTTTGTTACTCAGTTTCTAATTTGATTCAATTTTGGTCAATTGATAGATATCTTAACTAATTTGCATCCAAAGATTTTATAATTGTAGAATATTTTTAGCTTCTCTCTCTCAAATGAGTTTAGCAATAATTTCTAACATATAAAGGATGGTAGCCAATTTCCATCTCAGTTCCTTTCAATGTTTTTTTTGTTTGTTTGTTTGTTTTAAGAAAGGGTAAGCATTTTCATTATTCCACAGATGCATCTGGTTTCTTCTGGATTTTTTGTTTCATAAGTATGTCCAAAGGAATTTTATAATTCTTCAAATTTACATAATGAAGACAGCATTCAAACAGTTTTCAAGATTTTATGAGAATGATCTTCTAAAATATTCTGCATAAAATTAATGCTTTATTTCATATGATGAAAGATTGTGTCTATACACTCTTTTAAATGTTTCATCATGCTTCAAATGCTAATGTTGTACAGTTACTTCTTTGAGAATACTCCTTTATCTTTACCCCTGTGGAAAAAAAGCAAGCAATATTTGCTTAGATTAGTAGCATAAACACATCTTTCAAGCAGTGCAAGTTTTAAACCAAGTTCACTCTTTTTGGGGGGGAACTGGAACAAGCCTGCTTTAGCAAGGGGCTTGGCAACTAAGCGCCCTCTGCTGGCTCTGTCTTGACATAGGATTTCTTTTATTGGGTAAAGATATATTTATACACACACGTATACACACAAATATATATACACATACATATCTATATATATAATCTGTATTTAAAAGGGTCACATGTATTTTGTTCAGCTTTATTATGTAGGTTGTGATTTCCCTAGATTTTCCTGTTGAGTGCTTCAGGACAATATTTTCTATCAAGTTCAATTTTAAAGAACTTTGTCACTTTATACTAATTGATTCACTATTTAGATAACAAATTTACAGGATTCACCCAATTTGCCAGAGTTGCTTAGTGACAGAGCTCTCTTTGGACCTTAAGCTCATTGTCAGTATCCTTTTACTTGACTACACTGCCCCTTATCTACCCATCTCTTAGTCATTTTGGAGATTTGGGCCTCTGGGCGATCACTTTAGGTATTTGAAGTGTGGTCAGTTTGACAAATTTGTTAACAACTGTCCAGTGGATAAATTACAAGAAAATAAACACCTATTAGGTCTTTTTTTTCCTCATTCTGTACTAGCCCAGGAAAATTTGTATTGAAATAACAAGAAAAAATGTTTAGCAACAAAAATTAGACCGTTAGCAATGTCATTTACTTTTCGAAATGCTCTCTCTTACCGTACATCACACCCCCCTGAAACCAGCACTGAAAGAGGACACATAGAATTGAATCCATCAGTGGAGCTTCCAAGCAAAGAGACTTTGCTTTTTCTATTGATTTCAGGCTTCCTCTGTAGCCTGTTGCCCAGTGGTTTGTGTGGAAGACGGTAAGGAGAAGTAGGTAGCTTCTAGCTGTGTACTCAACTTAGCTTACATGTCTAGATAATATCTGTAGTGTTTGACAAATTTAATGATCTAAAAACTCTGTTCTTAAAAACAGGATGTGGTTGTGAATCTCATGTTTAATATTTCCATCCTGTCCAGAACTCATCTATGACACATCAACTCTTTCCCGTCCTACTTCAATATAACTATATGTAACAATTGGTTATTTCTTTTTATTTACATTTTCCCCATCACCATTTATCACCCCTGTACCCTCCTCCACCTCTGCCCCACCCCCCGCAATCAACCCACTGTTATTCAAGTCCATGAGTTATTTTTCTTTTTCGCTCACTCGCTCCAACCTCCCCCAACCCATCCCTTCCCCCCACACACACCACCACTACCACCAGAGTTGTCTGCCTGCTCTCTCTGAGTCTGTCTCTGCTTTGCTTGTTAGTTTAGTCATCTCATGCTTCAGTCCCTGACCTGGTAGGTGCTGATCGCCTCACTAGGACTATTCTTCCTATTCTGCTTTTCTCAGGAAAAAAATTACACTCCTTGAAATCTTAGTATATTCTTCACCTTCTTCATGGAGCACTGTGTAAGGACTTCCTCTTGCCGACATAGCTTGCTTGACTGTGTTGCAGGTATGACAACATTTGTGCGTATCTTGGAGCAGGACAGGACTCAAACAGTGGGTTTGGAAAATGACACAGAGGGGTCTGAGACTTTCCTCCACTACTCATCAGAACAGAGCCACTGTGAAGCTTTGGAAAAGCCTTGGCTTCCTCATCTGGGAAAAGGGACAAAGATGCCCCTTGTTTCCTGAGCTCCTTCAGAGGCTGAATAAGGTAATTCATGCAAACTCTAATAACAGTGGTTGCCCCAAGTAACATATGAGTTATTACCCATGCAAAATCTAAACATTTACTCCACATTATAACATTCTGTCTCACCCTTCTCTTATTAAGACTTGCTGTCCCAATAACAATGCTAAGGATATTTTTTCAATACCTGTGGAAACAATTTTAGGAAAAGTGTATGTGCCCAATAATTACTTACTGAATTAAAATGAAAAAAATAATTCTCTTTAGAAATTTCTAGTCCACTTTGTGGAAAACAGAGCAAAACAAAGGTAATATAATAAGCAGGATGCACTAATACAGTAGCAAAATGTGATTGATATTTCTACTTCACTGTTAAATCTTCCCGTTTTAAATACTACTGATGTTAA